GCTGCCGTGAGACGCGCATGCGCAGGTTTGCATTACATCATAAACAGCTGAGGCAGTGCATCTCTTCAAGGCAGTGTATCTCGGCGTTACACCGGCAAGGAAACACCGTAAAAAACCAAAACAGTCAGCGGCATGGCGCACCAGAAAGTTCAGTGGACATCAGAGATGGAGGAACAACTAGTAGACCTCTGGCAACACTGTGAATGTATGTATGACGTGTCGTGTAAAAAATATCATCACCGAAATGACAAGGAGAGGAATTTGGCAGAAATTGCTGCTGCACTTGAGATACCAGGTAGTGTTGGCATAAACCCTATTCGGACGGGATTAGTACACTAAATGATCAGACTGATGGGTTGTGTTTGTACGTTTACTTTGCACTCTGTCCTAATACAGTACAGACGTGTTGATGCAGCCGTACTTGTTGGTTTGCGCGTATGTAAAGTTTCGTGTCTAGCAGTGTGTGTGATGCGTTCACAGGTCGTCCGTACAAACTGTATTGTTGAACAGCACAGACAGTACGGGCCAGAGAACTGTAGAGCAGTAAAATCCACATGTACTGTATGTGTTTGTCTTCATGGTATCTGTGGCTGCTGTGGTCAGACGAGAGTCTCTATAGGCTGCGTGAAGCGGAGAGGCCTGAAGGTCTGAAGTCACGCTTGATCTCGAGAGATGTTGTGAGATTTCCGGTGACCTGTGAATGCTCGGGGGTGAAATCGGTTCGTGTGTGCTGTGTGTGGTTTGCGTGATTTTGCCGTGTGGCTGCGCACCACACACTGTACGACCAAAGTGGTTAGACCCGTGATTTTTTATCTCCGTGTGTGGGGTCTCACACGGAGAAAAAAACGGCCGACAATTTTAAAATTGTCTCGTGTGAACCAGGCTTAAAATCTGGAACAGTCTTCCTGAAAATGTGAGACACGCTTCTTCTGTGACAATCTTCAAATCCAGGTTAAAACTCTTTCCTCTTTTTAATGTACTGTGTGAATGCTTCCATCTTGTTTTCTTTTATGAACCGTGCTATCCAAATAATCCTGCCTCCTTCCTTCTTTAACCTTGTGATAATGTGTTATCAGAGTGACAGCCGATTGGTGGGAAAGTCCTCCTCCGTCTGTAATCGCTGTAAAACGCTTCTCTGCGGCTCACAGCGTCTGGATCAAACCGTGACAAATTGCAAACAAACGGGAGATCAAGTTTATTAGCCTCGCCGCCGCCGGGAAAAATGGAAATCTTTAATTCCCTTCTCTTTTTTTTCTTCTTTTTTTTTACGTTGACATTTATTTGGCGGGCGTGAAAAGTGATGTTCCCAAACACCTACAGCAGGAGTCGTGGCATTTCAACGCGTTTGCTTTTGTTCGCGACATCTGAACCCCTTTGTGTGGCTGTAATCTGCTCTGAAGCTGATCAGCCGGAACAATACCACTACAGACAGGTGAATATGATTAGTACATTTATTTATATATATCATCACACACATGGCTCTGGTCCTGATGCTAGGCTAGTCCAACCTTTCAATCAGACCATCACCATATCTATCCCATCTATATCTACTGTATATCCATCTATATCTATCTATATATCTATCTATACAGTAAATATGTACTTGAATTGTCTTTAGGTTTGCATACTGTACATGCCTTAATATTTATTTAGCACTTTTGTAAAACTTCCAAATCTACCCAAGAAAATTCAGATTTTGTGACTTTCTGTTAATTCAATGGCACTAAAACAAAAAATAATTCTGATATTTATCAATCTCTCTTTCTGTCTCTCTCTCTATACATATATACAGTATATATTCATCCATCTATCCCTTTCTCTCTATCCATCCATCCATATATCTCCCTTTCTCTCTCTAGATATATATAACTATTCATCCATATATGTCCCTTTCTCTCTCTCCATCCATCCATCCCCCCCTCTCTCTCTCTTTCTCTCTCTCTCTATATATAAAACTATTCATCCATATATGTCACTTTCTCTCTCTCCATCCATCCATCCCCCCCTCTCTCTTTCTCTCTCTCTCTCTCTATATATACAGTAACTATTCATCCATATATGTCACTTTCTCTCTCTCTCCATCCATCCATCCAACCCCCCCTCTCTCTCTCTCTTCATCCATCTATCCCTCCCTCTCTATCCATCCATCCATCTATATATCTTCCTTTTTCTCTCTCTCTTGATCTCTCTATATATACAGTATATCTCTATCCATCTCTCCATCCATCCATCAATCTATGTATCTATCTAGCAACATATATTTCTAACTTATCTATAATAAGTGATAAACATTTGAAAACTTTTGAAACATTATAAAAGCAAGAATGGTGTATAAAACTCTTAAAAGTCAATGTTGTTGTAGTTGATATGACCAAATACATATCTTAAAAAAATTATACATTGTCCAAAAGGATTTCTCTATTATTAATTCAATCCTGTAATTATAGAGAAAAAAAACTATTGGAAATGTATTTTCATGTAGAATAGAAAGAAGTCGCAGTGATTCCACTTGGACAACATTCGCTGCCGATTAAAGGCTCGGGAGTTTGATTGATGTCGCACTAATTGGAAATGTTTATGTTGAAAAACGGGACCAAGCGTTGTCTTTTCAGATGCAACAATGATCAGTGGAAAAATATAACTCTGTGCCAGTGTTAATGATGTTTTTATTATTCACACTATGTCAGAATCACTTATTTAACAGGACAGTGTGTGTTGTCTATGGAGAGAGAGAGAGAGAGAGAGAGAGAGAGAGAGAGAGAGAGAGAGAGAGAGAGAGAGAGAGAGAGAACACAAATAAAGAGAGAGAAGGAGAGAAAGAGAGAGAGGAAGAGAGAGACAGATAGATAGAAAGAGAGAGAGCAAGCGAGAGAGAAGACAGATAGCTAGAAAGAGAGAGAGAGAGCAAGCGAGAGAGAAGACAGATAGAGAGAGAAGGACAGAGAGAGAGACAGAGAGCAAGCGAGAGAGGAGACAGATAGGGAGAGAGAGGAAGAGAGAGGAAGAGAGAGAGAGAGGGTGAGAGACAGCTTCAATGTGATATTTTTTCAAAAATCTAAATATTTCATTTAAGCTAACAAAGATTTAACATTTTTTTTTTGAAGATGTTTGATGAATTAGATTGAGAGACAAGACTACACGTTCATTCCAATGTCTTTTCGTAAAGCCCTAACTCACAGCAGCAGTCGTCTCGCAGGACTTTACAAAACTGTTGATTCGCCAACAACTGATCAGAGAATCAAAAATAGAAATGCCAGGTCTGTGATTGTGGGTAGGGAACAATGTAAAATGGCTAAAAACTCCCAAACAAAAGTTAATTTAGCCTGATATGATTTGACCTCTGAAATGAACCGTGCGGACGATGGCCCGCGGTAATGCCAGTTTTAGCTCGCACCTCCAAGACATATTTAAACCTGACCCGTTGTGGATGTGGAGGGCGTTTAAGTCATTTGCTCTGTAACTGTGCGGAGCCAAAAGAGAGGAGAGAGGACACAAACACATGTAACCCAAGCCCCACTGCTGCTGCGATGATGACAGCAGGGTTTAATGTCCCGCGATCAAAGCAGAAGGCTTTAAAAGACTGTCCCAACGCACCCAGGTCAGCGGTCTACAGTCTTGGAACAGCATGAGAAGATGTTGGACTAAAGTAAGAATTAGGTATTGTATCATTACAACAGTACAGTACGACAGTGGCTCAGTTGGTAGAACATTGGCCTTGGTTCTAGCCCACCATGAGACCTTCTCCACTGATGTCTGCTGATATTGTGTCCTTTGGCAAGACACTTAACCCACTTTGCCTTTATGGAGCGCGGAAGTGATGTTCGCTGCTTGCCTTGATGTGTATGTGTATATGCGTATATAAATGTGTATGCATCAAACTGAAATTTCCCCATTGTGGGACGAATAATAGGACCTTCTTCTAATTAATTGCAGTTATAAGCATTATTTTTTGCATCTATTTTAATATTATTATTATTATCATTATCATTATTATTATTGTTATTTATATTATTATTGTTATTATTGTTGCATTAATACTTTTGAAAAATCTATTTATTAATTATATTTTTAGCTAGCCATTTTTATCGATTTTATTTATATATTGTCTCATTATCTCAAAGCTACTTAAGTTCGTAATTTTTTTATTTTTTTGTTAGACGTGTGAGTGACATTATTGCATCTACTGTATGTGCAGCAATTTGGAAACAGTTTGAAATTAAAATGTGCCATACAAATAGAGTGGATTGGACAATGACTTCCCTAAACATAGGAAAAGTGTGTACTGGCGTCTATCGTGCCAGTGCGACGGAGATTGCACATTTCTCCTTGTCAGCAAACTTTGGGTCACCTCCTGCCATTCAGCTAATTTTACCCGACCTTGCCTGCACGGTGTAATGTTTGAGAGCCCATAGTAGTGTAGTGTGTGGAGTCTCATGAGTTTAAAACGTAAACAATATATTTGGACCTATCACGGATGGTAAATAAAATCTTGGTGTTTCATGATTGAGAAGAGTGCTACATTTTTAATCGACTTTAAAACCAATACGGGACATTTTGAAGATGCATGATGCCATAATATATTTTTCTTCAAAGCTGGGGTGCCTCATTTTTTAAACAACAACAAAAGAAAAGTTCTGAAAATCAATCTTGCTTGTCCTCGCCCTCAAAACAGCTTAATTCTATCACTGATTTGTCTGTATTTTTGTTTTTGTCACATCTTTAGATCAGCGTTTTCAGACAGAGAAGTGAAAAAGTGAGGACCACACTCATTCAGCCAATCAGCTCAAGTGTGTTTTGTGGATAAATTGTGGTCTTGAATTGTTCACAGTACATCACTTTTACAAGACTTTCTCTGTTGGGACAAACCTCAGCTTTAATACAACTTTCATTAAGTTGTAAAATTGTAAATAAAACTCAATATGTCTCTTAAAAAATGGCTAAAGATTGCTAACCCTCTAGTGCAAATCCGGCTTTTGTAAACAGCAAAAACTTGTACTCACCCACAGTAGCAACAGTGTCATCCTTCCCCTGCGTGAAGACCACTATCCGCTGCCTCTTCGCGTTCTCCTTTGGCAAATTCTGGGCCTTTTTGGCAATTTCGGCGATGTCCTCCGTCTGTTTAAAAAGACCCAGGGAGAGGGCTGGTTAGGATCACAGAAAAATGCTCTGAAGACGTCGTTAAGGAGTCAATCTACTCCACAGAGGTCTGACGTGTTTGTCCCTCGCGCTGCCAATCGGATCAAGCGATAATGAAAACAGATGGGCCCCGACTGAATCAATATGACGCTCAATGAGGCCGGCGAAATATTAGACACGTCTGAGGGCCACGGAGAGATCGACGAATTAAACTTTGTGAGAATAGAACGTGTTAAAGGTGCAGTGGCCATACCTGCATGTGAAACCCAGATAGTGTCATACCTCTGTGGCTAAGCAGGGCAGGGTATGGCTAATAATGTGATGGGAGACCTCTGGGAACACCATGGTGCCACAGTGGGGAGGCTGTAAAGTGACAAACTGTTGCTGTGTCCTTAGGGAAGACACTTAATTGAAATTTTCAAGAATGAGTCTGGTGTGTGTGAGAATGGTTGGTGGTGGTAGTAGGAGCGGCCAATGGCACAGGGCTGTTCTGGACTTAAAAATAAGCTATGACATGTTTGTATTGATTCAGGTTTGACAGAGTTGAAGCTAGATGAATGACAAATGTTTAGCGTCATTTATGCAACTTTTTGGGACACAATCAAAAATAAATGTCAAATGTCAAAAATATAATTAACAGTTGGATTCCAGAGCTTTCCATTCCCTCTATTAAAGGTGTAGTTGCCTGGATGACACCGTGAATTTGTGTTTGTGATCTCAAAGACCACATAACATGACAGAGAGGGCCACAATTAGCTCGCGGGCCTGGACTATACGATTGCTAGGCATGTTGTAGTTTTGTGTAGGATTGTAAAAACAAGTATCAACAATAGCATCTACAACTAGTAAAGGTGGGCCTCTCTTTCTCACTTTAATAACTGATTAAAATTTGAGTTTGAGATTATCTTGTGGTAGTTGGATGTTATTTTGTTTGCTTGTTTGCAGTAAGTAAATCTAGATACCCTAGCTTTAGTATTTGAATACAAATGTTTACGTTTGCCTGTCCTAAGCCTATTACATCTCTCCATGCAAAATGTTAATAGAACATGAAATGAGTGCAGTGTCATTCTAAGCCTGGGACATCATATTTTTTTGCTAAGGAGTAATCAGCTAACCAGTCCCCCTCCCCTCACGCCGCCCACAGCCAAACCAATGAGCTTTTACACCTCTAATGCCTCCCAAACGCAGTGTAATCGGCCCACAGAGCTCTAGCACTCTAAGTAAGTGCTAATGGGGAGGTTAATACTCGCGCCGTTAGCCGAAAAAAAAGGCCAATTTGTCACCGGCACCGCGTTCAACCACAAGCACGGCCCCCAGACAGCAACCTGCAAACCAACCGCGACTTCGGCACATTGTCACCATCGGTTTTATGTTCGCGGACATAAAAAACAGCAGAGGTAAGAGCTTAAGCAGCGGCGAGGCGAGAGGTGCGAGTTAAATGTTGTTTAGAGGTGGGATAGTAAAACACGGGGTCCCCAAATGGAACTGCCATGAGCTGTAAAGCATGGAGGGAGTGGCTGGAAAACAGGCAAATTAAAAGCGATATTTCTTCTAATAAGGGTAGAAAGGATATGGTGGAGTCAAATAACCAATTATGAAACGAAAATAAAGGATATGGAAACTTGTTGCTCCTAGATATTAGACAGCATAAAAGAATCCTATTGATTAACACGGCAAATATACTAGTCAATAATTACTGAGGTACCTAACCCCAACCACAAGAATGAGACCCGTGAGTCACTATTTGACACTTTGGCCTGAGCATGTCAAATAGTGGCTCTCCAAATAGATTATATCCGAGTGAGGGTGGTCCCTTTTTCACACAGGAAAAAGCCTATCGATAGTTATGAATGTAAATGAGAGAGTTGATTGGGGGCTGATGGTCCAGTGTGTTCGGTGACTCGCTTCCGTCATCACCGTTGTGGAATGATTGGAACAATATCTGAATTCTGTACATTGTAAAGCGTTTTGGGTGACCTTGGTCTGTAAAATGCGCTATATAAATAAAAATGACTTACCTACTACTACTATCTCTAGGAGGATCTTTGTTTACATCCGTGTGCGAGAGACAGCGGCACATACAGAAGCATGGATGAGAAGAGTAGTTTTAAAAGACTCAGTGGGCGAAGTGCACTATATACTGTATAAGCACTTTAATGCAAGAAGATTGGAGAAGATATAAGAAAAGCTAAAAATAAGTATAGTATATATATATAGACCGAACTGAACAAATCCAAAGCCCATTTGAGGCCGGGATGAGGACAAACGTTGGTCAGACTCGTCTCTGTCCTGGCACCGATCTGCTGGGATGTATTCTTACTTCATAGAAAACTCGGGACCCTTCACGCAAAAAAATTTGAAGGCCTTAAAAGTCTGGAGGCTTATGATTATTTTGTTTCTAGAAAAGTTGGGTCATTTTTGTTTCGTGAAACAGAAGTCCGTGATTGTATTGAAAGCTGAGGCACGGCAGGATTCAAATCTGCCGTGGGTGATTACGAAGGAGAACAGAGAAATCATCACTCACTGTGACAGTAATACCGGGTACGTTTTTTTTCTAATGATCCCAGAATCCAGGCTTTCTTCTGAACGTTCATTCTCCTGATCGCCCGCAACCTAACTTTATCTGGCCTCAGGGGGCTGTATACCTGACCACACAACACTCTCTCCAAACGTCAAAAAACTAGCTATCTCTTTAGCATGCAGTTAGCTTTCATTGCTGTTTTGCCACCCAGTCACGTGACCGTTACAGAAAAACTATAAAAAACGACGTCACTCAAAGATCCTCCTACAGATGTGACAGAGGTGACAAAAAACGATGGAACCACTGTGTTGAGAGTGACAAACTAGTTACATGGATTTGATTACATACTGAGAGCATTTGATGTTATAATAATCTATTCTTTTCATTTACCACTCAATGTTAAAGAGCGGTTCATGAATTTCTGAGTAAAGTTCAGGTGCACTCATAAGTTTAAAGACTATGGCATTGTTTTCTACTTTTGATCCTTGTCCAAGTGTGGTGGTGACTGGAACATTTCAATTTAATTCTATATATTTTTGTACAGCCCTAAATCACAACAGCAGTCGTCCCCGGAGGACTTTACGAGGTTGTTGATTCACCAACACCAGATCAGAGAATCAATTCCCAGGGTTTTGAGCTTCACAACGAGGTATAGCATGTCTATTGGTGGAGCTGAAGTTGGCTGAACCGAACCAATTTGGCACGCGGGCCTGAGTTTGGACATTCCAGTTATAGAGTATGGACCCACATCATTGGTATCAAAACGTCGTGACAACCGCGCACAAACGACCAAAGCATGACGTGTGTTCTTTAATGTTCTCCTGGAGAGTCTTTGAACTACACTCCACAGATGTCACCGGGAAAATACACATCAACGGCGCCGTAATCAGGTCGTCACGTCAACGGACAGTTCCTATACGTCTTCCAACCCCCCCCCCTTCACCTCCACTTCCTCTCTCCTCTCTCCCATCTCTCTTCTCTCTCCCCTCACCCTCATCTCTCTCTTCTTTCCTCTTTCTCCTTTCTCTCCTCTCCTCTCTCTTCTCTCCTTTCCTCTCTCTCTTCTTTCTCCCTTCTCTCCTCTCCTCTCTCTTCTCTCCTCTCCTTTCTCCCTTCTCTCCTCTCCTCTCTCCCCTCTCTCTTCTCTCCTCTCCTTTCCTCTCTTCTTTCTCCCTTCTCTCCTCTCCTCTCTCCCCTCTCTCTTCTCTCCTCTCCTCTCTCTCTTCTTTCTCCTTTCTCTCCTCTCCTCTCTCCCCTCTCTCTTCTCTCCTCTCCTTTCCTCTCTCTCTTCTTTCTCCCTTCTCTCCTCTCCTCTCTCCCCTCTCTCTTCTCTCCTCTCCTCTCTCTCTTCTTTCACCTTTCTCTCTCTCTCCTCTCTCCCCTCTCTCTTCTCTCCTCTCCTTTCCTCTCTCCTCTTTCTCCCTTCTCTCCTCTCCTCTCTCCTCTCTCTCTCTCTCTCCTCTCCTCTCTCTCTCTTCTCTCCTCTCCTTTCCTCTCTCTCCTCTTTCTCCCTTCTCTCCTCTCCTCTCCCCTCTCTCCTTCATCTCTCTCCTCTCCTCTCCTCTCCCCTCTTTCCTCTCCTCTTTTCCCAATTTTCTGTTTCTCCTCTTTCCTCTCTTTCCTCGTTCTCCCCTCTCTCCTCTCTTTCCTCTCTCCTCTTTCTCCTCTCTCTCCTCCGCTCACCTGTCACTTCCTCCAGGATTGCATTTCTATTGCGGTCACGTCTATCACACCGTTAGCGTTTCTGGATGACAAATTATTCGCAGGAAGCCGAGGTGCGGTTTATTCAGGCTTTGAAAGAGACACGCTGCTTGGAAAAGAAAAAAAAACACCAGGTTCTTTTCAAACTCACACATGTTTTTTTCCCACTTTTATTTCTTAAAGGTACAGAGCGTGCTGTTATGTTGCAAATGAGTGGAATGGATCAAACCGGTGCTTTTGATTGCCCTGTTGGTTTTTCCTATATATTAAGAGGGAGAAGTCAAGCAGCTATAGCTACAGTATGTTTGTATAGTATGGTGTGGGGCGAGTCTACGGAGTATTAGACAGGTTCATTGGTAGAAAAAAACTGGAAGAGAATATCCATAAAAAAGTCACAACATTTGCCAATTTCTTATGACTTTTTTCATGGCATCAAAGAGTCAATAGGAAGAGTCATGGAAGAGTCAAAAAGAATTACAAAGTTAGATGTTGAAAGATCTATCATACAAGATAGAAGAAATTGTTAGATTTGTAAAAAAAAACAAAAAAAAAACACATGTACTGTATGCTAATTTTGTATCTTATATTGACCTGATGATGGATGGATGGATGGAAGCTCACTCAGTCAGAAGGTAAAACTCTGGGTTTTACGGCCGATCCACGTTCCTCCCTCACCTCTGACCCAAAGAGTTTGATCCCAGAAAATGGATGGATAGAAAATGGTAACTGGTCACATGTACGTCGCACTTTTCCTCCGTTCAAAGCACTTAAAGCGCTTTACATCAGGGAACCTTTCACCCTTCACCCCTTCACTCTCTCAAACAGAGGAGCTGGGGACGAGCCGGGTTAAATGTCTTGCCCAAGGACACAATGGCAGTTATGTGGTGTGCTAAAAACAACACATGGACTTTTAGATAACTATTGATTCTTAGAAGATATTGTATGTATATATATATATATATATCTATTTTAGTAATATCAATGTTTTATTTAAATGTATTTAATATTGTTATTTGTTATTATGTATTATTATAATTATGTATAATATATATTCTAACTTTAATATTAATTAATCTACAATAAATGAGATATACATGCATAAACACCAGGTGCCACAGTGGGGCAGCTGCGGCTGTAAGGTGTTGTTTAGTCTATAGGCAAGACACTTCACCCACATTGCTGGTGAGTGTGTGAATGCTTGGTATTGGTGGGAGGGGCCAATGGCACATAGTGATGCCTCACTTCTGTCAGTGTGCCCCAGGGCAGTTGTGGCTACAGCAGAAGTTTATCATCACTGTGTATGGAGTGAATGAATAATACCATGTGATGCGACTTTGAGGATCCAAAAAAGCGGTATATAAAATTGATGCATAATTATTATTATTATTTCAAGAGATGAGATGACTCTGCACAGCTTTTGCTCCCAAGAGATTTTAATTCTCACCACACAATGGGACGTTTCGGGTCACTACCCTTCATCAGACATAAAGCAATCTCACTCTAAAACCATTTCAATGGCCAGTGAAAATGCTCTTGTGGGCCAGATTTGGCCCATGGGCCTGAGTTTGACATGCCTGCTACAGGGAGCTGGTGACAGGGGTTAAGTTCATATTACATTGATCCAAAGGGCACATTGCGTGTCTGCACCGGCTGCTCTTACAGGCGGCTGTGATTCGGTGATTAACAGTCCACCGCGCTGTGTGTAGTAATGACAAACCTATCATTGCCCAAGAGCAGAGCAGATAATGAGAAGGCGTTTTAACCAGGCGACCCCAACGGCCCTCACATGAAAAAAGAGAAAAGAAAACAGCAACAGAAAAGAGCAGAGAAATCTTGAAATGGCGCCCAAGTTCTCCAGCTTCCCGAGAGGCTTTTCAAAATTCAATAAATAACATCTGTAGGCAATGTTGGGTGCAGACCTAGCACAGTGCGTCATAACAGTGAGAGAGGAGAGCAGAGGGAGGGAGAGGACTGAACAAAGAAACCATCACGACTGCCAGGTTTCCATAGCAACTGCTGCAAGGCCCGGAGAGTATAATAGCGCATCAATCACTGTCCAAAAACGAACTTCATTATCAGCAAAAATAAAACCTTTAGGATGTGTTTAGTGTGCGTGCGTGTGTGTATGTGTGTGTGTATGTCTGTGTGTGTGTGTATGTGTGTGTGTGTATGTACTGTATGTGTGTGTAAGATCCACTCACCCCAAAACCCAGGACACTGGCGAAAGTAGCAGCTTCCTGGAAATAGAAAGAGAGGAGAGAAAGAACGCTTGAGTTAATAGTAATTTCAGCAAAGTATAATGTGTAACAATGTGTAATGTGTAGTGTGCACCTGTACGAGACCGAGCTGTTTGTGGGAAACTGGCAAATGACACAGCTACGTTTCATATTTTTTTCCTACGATGTTTTGCGAAGCTATTGATTCTTGCTTATTCATTTAGCAAAAATGTAAACACAAAAACATTCCAGGACATTAGAATAGCTTCAAGACATTGCTTTGTACCAAATTTTAGTTGAGAGCCTGATTATAGGAAGAAAAAAAATCACAATATTTCAGTAATTATTGAAATCACGAAGATTAAAAATACCTAATGTACCGAAAAGTTCTCCCACATCATTTGACTGCCTGTTTGTTCAGTAAGAGTTTTTGGATTAGTTTCTCCTACCACGGCTTTAGTTATGAAAGAGTTTTGCATGTGCGTGCATTAAATGATCAATTATAGGAAAAAAAAAGAGAAATCATGATTATTAAAACGACTATTCATCAACCAAAATGGTACAAGGTGCTCCTACATACAGTTATATACTTGGACTTGTCTCGTTTGTTTCATTAGACCTGGAAGCTTTAGCTATGAAAGGGGAGGAGCTCCAAGTTAGAATTAAAGGTAATGTCTGCAAAAATAACATTATTTTTGACTGTACGACCACGTAGTATCACATAAAGTAAGTATTTTTCAAAATCAATCCTTTAAATACAGTAAAAACAACAAACTATGAGCTCACTGGGGAATCACACCTGGTCTCCTGTGGCAGACAGTCCATGTGCAGGTCCCAATACCCCCAGTGACAGTGACCAATAAAACACTCAAGGGTCGTCAGGTCGCCAAGATGTGGACGCCCCACCCTGGAACCCGAGGCAGAGGGGACTACGTGAGTCAGTCCTCGTCTGGGATCATCATATCGCAGACATAAAAGGGATGGGTGAGTGTGTGAAATGTTCCTAGCTATGGCATTTAGCTTATATCGGAATTGAAATCATCGACACATGTTAAAACCAAGTAGCTCCATCGCTTCCATTGTTTATTTTCAACAAGGGTATGCTAATCAAGCCTTGGCAAAAAATGTCTTAGGAAAATATAACACAGCCGAGCTACAGGTCAGATAAGTGATGAGGCAAACCAGTTCAAAACAAGAAATTTTTTGCAACGAACAGTCGTGTACAGTTCCAATCTAAAGACCAGAAAAGTCAAAAAGTTCCAACCAAAAAACAGCTTTTCGTCAGCGAAACACACAAGCTCCTTGAGAGAGCTACACATAAGTTAACCTTGTCTTGTTGCATATGTATTTTGAACCCATGATGCACTATCCATATTTCTTCCACTGGAAAATTCGTATTTGTCCCATAAATCCGTAGTTTATACAGTTTCTGACGTGAGTTTCCTGGATACTCGGAGTTCAGTTACTTAAGAGAAAAGCAAGAGGCATGTGTTAGTGTCGTTACGGAACGGAGCCAAGTGTGTCCTCGAGGTAAAAGATGTGGCCAGATGTTTGAGGAGAGTGCTTAATGGCTGCTTTAGTGTGGTCTCATAAATGCCCCGCTGCAGCCCTGGTGAAAAGGCAGTGGACAAACGGACCCAGATTATGGCAATGTTTGAAGTCTGTGAGATGCACGATTGAACTTTTCCTCCAGGTCTATGAGTAAAAGTATTTTTCTTGATCAATTGGTTTAAACGTATTGACTTCAACAGGTGGCTTTAAACCCAGTTACAGGTCAGATCTGTGGCAAGGCGTCCCAACTCAAGAGCACACCTTTCGATTTCGAGATGCAATTTTAAAAGCTTTCTGTTGTATTTGACTTAAAGCTGGGGTACCTAACTTTCAAACCACAGCCATAACAATGTAATATGATCCTTCTAACTGGTGCCTATCTCAGTTTGGTTTGGTATTGTTGGCACCTGTCATATCTTTAGATCAGTTTATAAGGAATAAAGAGAGGACTGCCCTCACTCACTCATTCATCCCATTAAAATGAATGATATTAAAGCTGGGCAACCTATTTTTTCCAACAACTAAGATTGATCTATGTAATCCAATCCATCTTTATTGTTACGGGTTCTAAAACGGTTTGGTGGAATTTATTTTATTCCATTAATTTCTCTGCTGTTGTTAATTACTGGTGTTCTTGTTATAAACCAGTCTGTATTTATCTATCTTTTTGAATAGTCTACCTTTTTATTGCACACTTTCTTATCTTTCCTTTACTGCCAAGACAAGCAAACTGATATTTATATATGTAAAAAAAAAAAACTAAAATACATTACCTTTAAATGATCATACAATAATATTAATAATAATAATAATAATACATATTTATTTCAGGCTCAAGGTCCATATAAAAGACAATACAAAAACACAAAATTCCAAAAATAACATCTGTATAGGCAAAAAATAAGAAACATCTCTGTACTAATAGTGTGTCCAAGAATTGAAAAACTTCACTACTATAATGAGTCACTGAGTCAATGTTTCCATGTAGCTCGTCACAAGCAACACAGATTAGGAATGAAAGCTGGTCGTAATGTTATGGCCGATCATAGGGAAAGAAAGTATGCATCAAATCCAACTCTAGAACTCAGAACTGTAAATATTCCTCCGTTACTCTTTCTCCTCCACACTGCAGCGTTGATGTTTCGACTCATTTGTTTTCATTATTTACAACACAATATTGACTTTTCGCCTCCTCGCTAAGTTGTGCGGCGTTCTCAGGGGCCGTGTAAACCCCTTTTTTTCTCAACCTACCTTGTCAAAACAACAGTATTTCAAGTGGAGATGTTTAGCAAATGGCAGCGAGATGAGTGAAGGCTCAAAAAACTAACATTATTTTTCTTCTTTCCTTCTCTTTTCAGCCCCACTTCTTGTTAGCAGATGCATTATTAGTTGCTGGAGAGAAGGAAAAAAGCGTGTGTGTGGGTGTTTGTGGCAAAGATAATTGAGCTGCTTCTATGAGCTACATGAGAAAACTGTAATCCTTTTCAGCGCGTTTATTAATTTGCCTTTGCGCGCGTCAACAATATTTAGTCACTGAAATGGAAAATGTGCCATCTTATTCTTGTATATTTGAGGAAAGCGGTTTAGTCACCTGATTGGAATATAATTTGTTCTTTAGAGCTTCGAATACTAATGATTTTTTACACTTTGGATACATCAATGCCGTGGCTTCGGGCTGGCATACCTTCACCAAGTTTTGAAAATGCTTAGGGATCTGAGAGAATACACAACAAAAAAACAAAAAGACAAGACATGGTAGAGTTAGCAGGGCACGCTCGACGTTAGGGATGAGTCAGATGGGCTTTATCGATCCACAAGGGAAATTACTGACAAGGTAATTTGATTGGCAACATTGGGAACCTTCCAATGAATTCACAAATCCCAATATTTACAAGACACCAGTGCAGATGTAGTACAGGAGAATTTAAAGGGGACATACTGTGAGGCAAAGTCATAATAATTTAAGTGGTTTGTGGGTTTAATAGACCCTTTTAATATTCACTCCTTGAAGAAAGCAATGTCATTTTTTTGGGGGGGGATTTTCTAAGATGTAGGAGTACTAATCCCACACATGACTAGTTTTAAAAGTTTTTTTTTTCACCCCTTTTCCTAATTGCAAAACATATATTTTTATTGGAAAATGTTACGTTTTGGTCCTGAGACCTTCATCAGGCAAATTGCTGTTTTTTTAATTATATACCCTTGTCAAGTGTCTAAAAGAGGTATGTTTCAGTTCTCAATTTAAAATAAATGTATTGACTCAAAATGTGATTTATCAAATGGTTGGGGAAACCATTAAAGGGTTAATAGAACATTGTTTCATGAAAATAAAAAATAAAAATAAAAATAATAATAATAATGGAAACGTGTTGTGTATTGTGGTACAGACGCTTGTTTAGTGTGATTATTTACAGTTCTGTTAAAGTGCTGAATTTGATTTGATAAGGTAGATAAGGGCAGTGCCTGGTCATGTGCAGACTTAATTATGTTAGCGCTGTTTGTTTTGATTTAAACTGGAATAACTGTGAATGCCCAAACAACAATAAATGAAAAAATTAGTGAACAAAACCTGATTCTATGATAATCTATGATCCTTAAACAAATGGTTCATGGGAAGTGTTTTGTAGATTGAGGCGACACTAGAACGCACAGAACAAACAAGTCGAGTTGCTTCACCCTAATTCCTCTTGACCCGTGTTGCCCCGCCCCCTTTGATAGAGCATCATGTAGAAAGCGTCATGAACTGAATGTGATACAAGGGTGGAGCAGTCACGTGTACGGCTAGTTTTATACGTGTATTTTATATATCTGCATGTGTAGTAGGGGTAAGTAGGGGTCGTAAATACACCAGATTTGAGCTTTGTAGCCAATTTCAATCTGTAATCACATAGACACACTCATTCAACCCTCACCCATTGTACATGTTTTTAGGGGTAGGGGATACCGGAGCACCTGGAGGAAACCTAAGCAAACATGCAAGCTCCACACATGTCGCAACAGAACGATGGAAGGAGCTATTTTGCCTTTGCTTCGGGCTGGCATACCTTCACCAAGTTTTGAAAATGCTTAGGGATCTGAGAGAATAAACAAAACAAAAACAAAAAAGACAAGACATGGTAAAGTTAGCAGGGCACGCTCGACATTAGGGATGAGTCGGATGGGCTTTATCGATCCACAAGGGAAATTACTGACAAGGTAATTTGAGTGACAACATTGGGAACCTTCCAATGAATTCACAAATCCCAATATTTACAAGACACCAGTGCAGATGTAGTGTAGGAGGATAATTTCAGGGGTCAATGGTCTCAATGTCAAATAGACATACTCTCTGTGGTAAATTCTATTCACAGTGATACCCTGTGATTTGAACTGGCAAAAAGTAAAAAAAAACAGATTGAGCAAGAGATAAAATGGACTACTTTTAAAACATTCCCTTTCCATTTCGTTTTGAAAAGTCTATTTCATTAACA